AATGTCCACGAGACTGTCGTTCCAGGACCCCATGGCCAACAACTGGCGACCCGGTCGATCGACGAAGATATCAAAGTCCATGAGGTGTTCAAGAAGGGCGCGGTGACCGGTGAAGCTTCACTTAGTGAGCCTGCATCGGGGAAACAACGCTCGAGCAGCACGATCGGCGGCGCTGGCGCTCCTGTGACGGGTCGCCACCACCTTCTCTGGCACAAAGGCTAGCAGACAACAGAAATGGTCGCCAAAGCTCTGAGAAATATGCATGATGGTTGAATAAGTGTGCTTATTTGATTGTGTGCCTGTTTACACTTGCATTCATTCCATTCATTGTTATCTGCTGTGTGTGTATTGTGATTATTTAAGAGCTGTATTCATTTGCAGATAAGTAATTCGGTCCTCGTATTCAATTTGGATGAATTTTAGATTCTTGTGGCTACCATCAAAGTGATTCGTTTAGGGCATAACTTAGGAGTTACGAGATTGTTTTGGATGGTGGCAGGTGCAGAACCTGCATATAACTTTAAGAGGAGGCCTATTGACCATGCTCATTGGATCATTAACATGATCATATATGTTAACCATAACTAGATTACATAAACAGTTTCAAGTCAATAATATTGGAAAGAGTCAAGGTCCATTTTAGTATTAGGGTTTTGGTATGTATCACTTAAGTCCTTATAATTTATTTGTATTTAAAATAATCCTTATATTTTAAAAAACGTAGAATATAAGCTCTTCCCGTCAAGTTTAAATTAATAGATATTACAGCTGGCATATTGACTCAATATCATTAATATAATGATATATGTTATTTAATTTTTTTTTAAATTAAGACCATTAATAATGGGAGTAGGTGTCATCATGGAAGCAATCACCAATAGTAGTATTGAATCGCTACTACCTAGCAGGCGTCATATGCATGCAGTCTCTCCCGCGTTGATGATGAGCTCAGAAATTTTCGGTCCTTCCTCAGATAGATGTGTGTCGATTAGTCCGACGCTAGGCATGTAGTAGTCTTTTGATCCCTATTCTTTCTCTCAGGCATCTTCGTCCCCACTATCTTCCACTTCATCCTCTCCTGCACTCCCACCTGTTGCGCCTATGATGTTATGGTCTAGATTTTAAAATGTTCCAATTTTATGAGAAGATTTTAAAATGAAAGATTTTTTTTCTAATTTATTAGACATATTATTATATCAATTATTATATGTTAAAGAATTTCTATTAGTGTGTATATATCTTATATTAGAGGTATTCAAATTAAATAAAAAAAGTGAATCAAACCTGAATTGAATCGGTTCAAAATCGATTTGGTTCGAACCAAGTTATCAATTATTTAGCTTTAAATACTATAAATAATTGGACCAAGATTTTGGTTCAACCAATTTATTATATATATATATATATATATATATATATATATATATATATATTAAATTATTTTAAATAATAAATCTTTAACCGATTAATCAAACTGAATTAATCAGTTTTGAATAGATTTAGCTAAGTAGATCTGAATTAGTTCTGATTCAAACTACTTTATCTTAATCAAATCGAATGGAAAAAATAGTTTGATTTGGTTCAATCTTTAATGGTCCAGTTGGAATCGATTTGAACATATAATATAATTAATTTATCCAAATATATTGTAAATATAATAGGGATAATTACTTTTGATCAGAAATCTATTGAAGAGAGGGGTGCCATAAGCAAATAAGGAAAGTGTTTACGATAATTAGCTATATGATATATTATTAAATGAGATAATATTCTATTTTGATATTATATATGTGTCTATATATATCCATCCGATTCAATGGAAAAATTGCCACTCACAAGTGTGAAGCTCTCTTTTTCACATATAACGCCGGTCTTTAGTCCGCCAGATCCTCCAGAGGTGCCCCCGCCGCCCGCTCCCGCGGATCCCCCGCCAGCCCCCCCACCTCCGGTGCAAGAACCGCCAACCCCACCACCAGAGCCAGCGCCACAATTGCCGCCAACCCCACCGCCAGGAGTGCCACCTACGCCTATCAGTCCTGCACCACTGGTACTGCCGCCAGCAGGTACCACTTCACAGAGCGCGCACGACGTCATCATCATCGCCGTCTTCTTCTCCCTCGGCGGCCTTTTATTCCTAGCGTTCTTCACGGCGGCTCTGATTTGCTACGTCAGGAAGGCAAAGAAGAAGATGGCCGCCAAAAGACAAGCTGTGGATGTCCACCAGGCTGCAGTTCGAGGACCCCATCGCCAACAACCGGCAGCCCCGACGGCGATCGACGACGATAACGAAATCCATGAGCTGATGGAGGAGGGCCGGGTGATCGGTGAAACCTCACTCAGAGAGCCTGCGAGGGATGCAATATTCGAGCAGTGGGGCCGGCGGCGCTAGCCCTTCTAAGTCCGATCACCCCGACCTACTGGAGCACAAAAGCTAGCAGGCTATTGTGTGTTCGCAAATCAGTGTTACATGTCTACATTTCCATTCACAGTCACCTCTTTCGTCTATTGTTGTTATTTTATGTATTAATTTGCAGATAATAATACTTGTTTCATTGGCTTCTTTGTGTGTGATTTGGACGATTAATTTAGAGCATAACATAGACTGCTTTGTCTATATGTTTCTTTCCCGCCGCCAACGTTCTATATGATCCATGTTGAAATGCCAAATTTACTGCCCGCAATTGAATCTTCAAGGTCTTTGTATAAGAAGGACCGATGCAGGAATACGAAGCAAAGAGAGGGAGAAAGATTTAAGATTTGAGATTGAGGCAAAAAAGATGTTATATTACATGTAGATATGCATATCATTGTGTATATTTATCTTTGCTCAAACCATTCATGTTTAAGTAATGACAAGCAGTCCTCAGAGATTATGACAAGCACAGTTTCCCCACCGTACCTCAAGGCGTACAATGCAGAGCGTCTTGTTCTTTATAGCTTACACTCGTAAGCTATAAGTCTGGTTCTGGGGATTCTGTGCAAAAGAGCATGCTCAGGAAGGCAGCCAGTTCATGTCCAAGGACACAATGGGCCATGAATGCTCAACCTAAGCAACAATTGTTTGCAAGCCACCCTTGCGAAGCCTTAGCATGAGAGTCAAGTCTTTTGAGAATCTCCTACCCGATGCGGCCCTTCTTCTTCTGCCAACTCTCGATCGATACTACAAATACCCACACACTCCATCCTCTCTCTCCATCCCCTCCACAGTTGTCCTCGAGTCTCTTCAAACATAATGGCCTTCGTCCCGCCTCGAATGCCACCGCGTCCATTTGCGCCACCTCCTCCAAAGGTATCCCCGTCTATGCCACCGCCGCCGAATCGCCAGAGCCCCCCACCTCCCTCACCTTCGAAGCAAACACCACCTCCACCACCTCGCCGCAGACCCCCGCCACCCCCACCTCCGAAGAAAGCGCCACCGCCACCACCTCGCCGCAGCCCCCCGCCACCCCCACCTCCGAAGCAAGCGCCACCACCACCGCCAAGAAGGATTGCCCCGCCTCCGCCGAAGCTGCCACCGCTACAGCCTCCT